CCAAAAACTTTATCCTTTATCCTTTATACCAAGGTCTACAGTGTAGTCAGCTAAAACTCAAGTGCTTGTGAACTTAGGGACAAGCAGCGTAATACAGCTGTTTCCTGAACCGCAGAGATAACTTTTCATACCGAGTGAGAGGGAATGGGATTAAGATTGATTCTTCCTCTTTACGACTTGGTCCTGTCTAAAGATCTACGAGCAACTCGTCACATCAAATGGCAGAGTTTGTTTATCATCTTCTTTCTGACAAGTTCATCGGGAACAACATTCAGAGCCATCGGGCCATTTTCCATGATGTGTGTAGCCAGGCGATCCGGCGGCCCGATGCACAATCGAAACTGCTAGTGAAACTGCTTTTCTCTTATATGAATCATGCTTTTTTTCAGAGACGAACCGTTTTTTATAGAACAAAAAAAGTTATTGGTTCTAGTTCTGGCTCAAACATTATGACACGTACCGTTTTTTTATTTCCATATAAAAACCATATTGCATGTTCACAGGACGTGATTCGTGGTTCCCACGAAGTAGGACAATTTCGTCCGGGTGTAATACCTGTTTTTATAACCAAATCAAAAGCTCGATCAAAAAAGTGGTCACACAGTAAAGTAATTTTTTCAATATTTCTTTTTGTTTGCACTGAGATACCTTGTACGCGAATAACAGAACAATACATTCGAGAGAATATGGGCCTCGATCGACATAATCTCCGAGAAACAAATACCTAAACTTGTAGCTGTACATTAAGGATTAAAGCATAACTGTTATTGGAAGTTTCCTTATTGGCATAGTTTTAAGAATAAACGAAACTCCATGACAACTTTTTACATTTTTTGGTATTGTTGGCGGGAGAGGTCGTGTAGTGGCTAGGGGTGCAATGTCTCGCACGCGTGGTGTTGGGTTTGAATCCACTATAGATACCCGCCTCGGCCAACTAAGCCTTTCATTCCCTCGGGGCTGGTCAATTGGTACCACTGCTTTTATGGTCTGGGACGATAAAACACTGACTTATACATCAGTTAGCCACCGCGAGTCCAGCAAGTCAGTGTGTCGGCCACATACGCATTCAATACGTCACTACTTTCTGAAGGGGGCCAAATGAGGGTATGCATCCCTCGGACGGCCCAAAGACTTTACTTTATACTTTTACGGGCTGACCGGTTCATTATGTGCTACGTGTTAATGCTGATAAGCTTTGGCTTCAGAGCCATTGAGAAGACGGGGAGCGATTGAGGACTTGGTAGTATGTGGGAAGAACTTATGCGGAAAGCACAAGAGCTGGCTCGAGTCCTGTACTCCAGTAGTCTGAGAATTCTGCACCGCCCTGGCTATTTCTGGTTGTCCTATACTTCAACTACTAAACGCCCACGTACCCCTCCTTTGACTACGTATTTGTTCGCTTCTGCACTGCATTTCATTGAAATAAGCTAATTTTACGGAATTGCGCACGGAATAGTAGTATTATTATGGGAGGCGCTCCTTATTCCATTACTCCATAAGCCCTTTTTATGAAGGTATGCCCATGTTACATCTCAAATACACGTCTGTAAACCTTACAAAGTCCCGTTCAAATATGGTCAAAATAAACTCTTCTTTTGTATATTAATTCGATAAATCGCTTTCATACCATTACCTTTTCGTTGGTGGAAATCCATTAAGATGAAAGAGGGCAAGAAGATCTTCATATTGTCCATGAATGTCGCCGCATATTTGAACAGGTGAGCTTACCTAAGCAATACAAGTTGGGAGAGCTTTTCCTCACGTGACTTGGGAAACAATATTACCCCCTTTTCAACTCATGTTTCAACTCGACACTGTCTCCTCTACAATCCGGTCTGGGAAAGCCAGTAGGCGATGCCGCAGAAGACTTAACGCGGTGAACGAAAAGACTTTTCTTCATCGGTTCAGAGGTCCCGCCCCCTAAGGGTTGTGAGGAAATCTTACTAGAAGGGGAATTTATCACTAACTAAGGGAGAATGCTACGGTTCCGTGTGAACATCCTCCAAAGTTTGCTATCAAGTAGTCGTACCTTTGACTGGCTCGACTAGACCATTACAAAGCGAGGGTAGCCTCTAAGGTGAGCAGCAGCACCGATGACGAGACTCACACTGTTTGCAGTCACGTAGAGGTGCTCCGGAACTTGCGAAACCTCGCTTTCCTATGGGTGAAGCTTTCCTGCTACACAACAGTGCATGCTCACATTTCGCAAACAAACCCAGAGGGTAATTCAGGAACTTGGCTTCGTAGCTTTCCTTCATACACAAGATCAACTTCATCTTTCCCCAACTGAACATCACTTATTTCCGCTTACTTTCTGGACAACAACAGCCCCGATGAACGCTACACTTCGAAAGGATTACTCATTTCTAGCGTCGGAGGCCGCAGAGTCGTCATGACCGGCCGGCTGCCGGTACTGGTCGGTACATCCTAGCAATGAGCTAATTTATCTTACCATTAGGATGAAAGAGAACGTCTTTTGCGAGCCCATGCACGACGAGTGCTAGCAGGACTGACCGGCGTCCTTCTTTGTTAGTTAGGGACAGCATGTCATCACGCCTTCGGACGAAGTCGCCTCGAAGGAGAGAGGTTCAGCCGAGGTCATTGGGGTTTGGTTAATGTCAGCAGGACTCTCTTTGTATTGTAGCTTTGAGGTGCAGTAATATGGACTTCTGTGTACTATTGCACATACATTCAAATCGCCCAACTAATGCGGGGCACCCCTCCTTTCTGCTGGCACGAAGTCGGAGCTGACCACAAAATTTTCGAGCGGAATCCTCCAAACGCAGGCACTTCATATTCGACATCAGGTGCATTCGACTATCGCTTGCGACTTCGTCTATTGCTCCTGTTCTTAACAACAACTATCTAGAGTACTTATTCCCCCCACCCTTTGTTGACTCTACTGATGCACCAACATCTCTGCAACTAAGCGATCACTGATACTCTCTAACGTTGTCGGTTGATCGGCTGACACCATCGGAATTTAATATACCTGGCTATTCATATGTTCTATGACTCTCAGATCATTGATGGTCGGATAAGATGTATTACAGAAGATATAAAAAAAGAGAATACTTGGTTCCTCATCTCTTTACTTCTAGGCGTGATCGGATCGTAATTCACTATCAAGGGATGAGCCAAATTTGTATGATACTGACTTTGATCGGGCGTTAGCACTGCACTAATCACTCTTTTTCTGCCAAGCTATTCTGAGATCCCTTCTTATCACACTGACCATGAATATTAAATATCATAGTTTGTGCACAACAACTGAGTTGGGAACTGGAAAAATGAGACCTTTATCAGCCGCGTCGGATGTTATCAATCACTATTCCTCCCCACCTCCAAAAAAAGAGATAGCGGTGGAATGGCAACTATAAACCTTTACCAATATTTATCACTTCCTGTTGCTAAGTATCGCATTGTTTATGCCCCCATCACAATCTTTTTGAGTGTGATGAGGACATAAGTACTTGGCGGCCGGCAGGAACTGATAACATCTGATAAGGGTGATAAGAACTGAGATGGGATGGATGGGTCTAGAACACGAACGTAATCTTACTACAGCACCTTATCGGCCCTTATAAGTTGTTTTCAGTTTGTGTTGCCACGTACCTCTGACCCCTTCGCACCTAAATCACCCACCAAAATACGATATTCCACACTTTCAGTAAACGGATTCTGTCACTATCACCTTCTGAAGCTCCTTATTGGGCATTGTGCCTCTATACTCTTCTTTACTTGTGTATCTCGTGCGGCTATCAGTCTGGGTGGGTCGTATTGTGACAAAGCCTGGTTCCTCCTAGCCATGTACCCCTTTGTCCTCCAAAGGCTGAATCGGGCATTCTGAAGGAGCGCAGGTGCTGCGGGATCTAAACCAATAGTTTGAGATCCTCTCTACGAGCATCGATAGTCTCAAAGAGAATCCTAACCACGACAAGAAGCGTATTGATTAGATCGTACAGACAGTCGATAATCCATTTTTACATAACTGCGACGATGGAGCGGTATACCAACTGAGAGTAACGTTAGCAGTCAAGCGGTCAAGGTGGGCTCGCATTACAATCGTCACTCCCTAGAAACCTACTTGTA